ATAAAATAGTTATTATTATTAAAATATATTGATGCATTAGTTAGTTAAATGTTTCTTTTGCAGCGATTTTAGGTAAGTGTAACAAAAGGTTGTATTGCACTTGTGACACCTTCCATTGGCAGTCTTGTAGCATCTTAACATTGCAGAATAAAAAACCCAGATGAACTAGGATCGACAGGGAATAGAGGCCAGCGATCCAAACTCGTAGACCTTAAATGTTCTTTAAAAATATACTAGGCTCATTTCAAAGTTCAAATATTTTGATGCTGAAATCGATCTTATTTTATGTAATTCAAACTGAATCTGTCTAATCTGAATAAGAGAACACACAAAATGTGTATTGAAAGCTGCATTACATTTTACGAGTCGAGTTATATTGGTCATTTCTTAAAAAACTGCCAGATTTTTAACGACACTATGTATTCATACTGTCTGTAACTATGGCGTGTAGAGTTAAATCCTTACACATGTACTTCGTGTAATCTCAATACATACCTTTAATCTCAATCAATTTACCTTTAGAAAGACACTGTGTAGGAACTGTAAAAAAAATTAAATATGAAATTCAAACCTAGTGTACGGGTACAAAACTGTACTAGATTTATATCATTATCATTGAGTAAATAAGGATGTTCACCTTCATAACGACGCTTTTTAAAAAATTATTTGCAGTGTTATTTAAGCATCAATGATAAAAAATGTAAATTTTTGTAGGTGTATCGGAATGGTTGCTTAAATTGATTATCAGATAACCTTTTATATTTATTCAATTTTAATTAAGTTATTAAAGTTTGCAATTCTTTTGTAATAATTACCTTTCTTCAGATATAAAAGTGACTTCTCCATTCCAAACTAAACGTGGCGCGTCGAGTATTCTTTGAACAGTTCTTAAAGTAGTTCCATGTTAAGAAATGATATCAAATCTGATTGAAATTCATTTAACATATCAGATATTTTGAAAATATGGCAATATACTCAAGGATTATAACATGGTTTCCCCGATCAGACGAAATGAAATTACAGACACATAAATATGAAATGTAGTTTCGGACCAGACACACTTGAGATTCAACTAATGAAATTATGCTGTAAATGTTTCACGTGAGATTGATGCTTGGTCAGATCTTTCTTTTGTGTCTGAATTCGAAATTACTGTTTGAGAAGCATGGTTCGTCCCCGGTAACATAGGCAGACTGTTAACGTATTCACTTTATTCGTATTTTTTAACGTATTCACTTTATTCGTTTTTTTGGAAAAATAAGCTGTCTAAAGTTTGAAGCCCTAATAAAAAACAATTATCAAATATTGAAAGCAATACAAAAAGCCCCTACTAGAAGTATGTCAGTTACATCCTTAATGAATGAGTCCAAATATTTTGCTATTTGTGCAATATCTTAAGTATTTTTGTTAAAGCAACAAAATTTTTAACATACGAGAAAAACAAGTCAACCGCATGAGATATTAACGCTTATCTGTATTGGAGACCACTTTTCGATAGTATAACTTTAACAGAAAATAAGTTTTAGAAGTATTGGTTTCAGGATATTGTCCATTGTCTTACAACTTCACCTTTGTCATAATAATCATGTATTACAAGATTCAAGTGAAAAAGCTTTGATATATTTTAAAAACATACTTCCCTTTGAAGGGAATTGTGAAAAAAATTTCCCAAGGGGAAAAAAATGGGGGTTAATTCCAGCTTTAGTTAAAAACTGAAAAAATTATTTCCGTTTGCTTTAAAATGCTGGGCCCATTTTTTTCGGTTTTGGCCCAAACATTTGTTAAATGAAATTTCACGATTTTCATACAACCCCCTTTCCATATTATAAGTTTCGTAAAAATTGTTTTAGTACTTTAGTTAATTAGTTATCACAATATTTATTACTTTATTTAGGTTCGCCCATTGATTTCACATTTTGGGCACACGCATTCTTTTTTTACTTGGGAACGTCATGTCGCTCTTAATGGAATGGCGATAAAATGTGACAGTGAAGGTTCCATGATCAAAACCTGAAAATGGTGAAAGATTGAATTTAGAAACATTTTGTCTTATAAAATCACGGGATAAATAAATGCAATTTATTTTGACAATACATGCGAATGCTTGTTAGTTAGTATTATAACTGGCAGCTCAATGAAATAAAAGTTATGAAAATGACGATGATGATGATTAATGATGGCGATGAAAATAATTGTTTTTAAACATTTAAATAAGTAACAAAGTTACAAAACAGGAAACAGAATCCCTAAAATACTCATAAATGGCAAAATTTAAAGCTTTGCAAGCTCGGTTTGATTGAGTCTGTTTGTGAAAAGGAAAATGACAAGCATTTTTTCTTAATAACAACAACATGTTTGTATGAAGTCGATAATGAACACACTAATCTGATTTAATTTTTATCGACTATATTTATGATTCATTTGATGTTTGATTTATAGTATGCAGTTAATTGAAATCTAGATGAAAAGTGAAGACACGTCAAAAGGAAAAAACACATCAACCTAATCAAGTGTTGTCAGAAATCATATGATGCATGGGAATATATCCAATAATGGAACATCAGTAAATCATGTAAAGATAGTCTTATATTGTCTTGCTGATAGATATATAGTTTAGGAAATTGCTTTTACGAATATTATAGAATTAATGACTTAATTTTATACATAAGATATATAACTGTTACAGTTTTTGCAGTATTGAAATAGAGTTAAATATATGAATATATCAGTCTACCACCAATAGAGCATCGGATTAGTAACCATGAGGCTGCTGGTTCAAGCCTCGGCTCGGGGGTGACGGAATTTCTTCGTGACAATTTATCTCAGACATCAATTCTTAGAGAGGCGGCGGGTCGAGCAGTGAACGCGCGCGTCGGACAAGTCATCTTAGGATTGCTGACCGCGTGGGTCAAACCTTATCGGGGACAAGCCTTTGTTTCCTCGATCAAGAAACTTTACATTCATTGCTTAGTACTGGTTGGTTCCAGGAACGGATTCGAGAGTGTTTCAATAAGCTTATAGCTTCCAACTCAATCGAACAAAAATTAATTTGTATAAACTTATTTTCGTGGTCATTTGTTTTTCACCGCTGAGATATTGGTAATTATTGGTTAATTATCCAGGAAAGTCGGTTATGTGGATCGGTCGCTTGGGTATGACACAAAAATTTGTTTAATTTGGCGTAAAACAAAACAAGAAAATTTTTTTTAACTTCTACGATTCTCTATTCTTTCTATGTATTTATTGTATCATTTTAGTAAGAAAAGATTTTCAAAACGAAGAGATGAAATGATTTAAAATTTACACAACACATTTTTTACGTTTCCTCGTCGATACAAATACAAACATCTCAAAATATATACCTATCTATTTTCGATTAATATCAAACTCCTTACGGGGACTAGAAATGACTCTTAGAGTTAGACTTCAGAGACAGCTATGGGATACAAGGGAATTCGGGAAGCTGTCCCTACTTCTTATTGAATAGGCCCCTTTGTTCTTTACATGCCCAGTGTAAAGATCTCATGCATGCGAGGATTACCCGAATTTCTTAGCAGTACACCTCTTGGTAAGTGAGAAACAAAAAATTCCCATGGGTGATATAGCGCTAATAATTATTCATACGATTAACTGGTAAATTAATGATGTATGTCATTTTTTTATTTTGAAATGGGTACCCTTATCTTACATGTATGTGATATAATAATACATCAAAATAAGTAATTTTATTACTAATGCGTTAACAAATTATAGTCTTTTGATAACTTAAGTTGGAAACTTTATGGTCGCTCAACATTGCAACAATGAAACATATCTTCAAAGCTTTCCATTAACAGCCTTTATTAAAACAAGCTTGCTACATTTTTTCTTTAAGGACTCTTTTCTACTATTTAATTTCTATATTATTATAAAATGAGCAATTGTTTCCACCCAGCAGGCACTCGACGTTGTTTCAACGTTGAAACATCGTTGAAATATGGTCATGACGTTGTTCAACCAATATTCAACTATGGACGACCATACGGATATATTGCCAAAGTATATACAACGTTGATTCAACGTTGTTAATAGTCGAAGTTTTATATTTAGTTTAATAATTATATAAACCTTTATACCACTAATTTTGTGTTATTATTCCTTTATTGAATTAGTCTGAAAGTGATTTTTGTCAGGAAAATTTGCGTTGCAATCTTTTTCCTTATATTCAAAATTAGCGCTTAAATTTAACAAATCAAGTTGGAAATAAATTTTCACTTTATATTAACGCTTTAAATGTTAGTTAATATGTTTTGTTGTTTGTTGTTTTATTTTTTAGTTCTTTATGAATAATATTAATTAATAAATTAATATTAGTTAAAACCCCGTTGATAAAATAACGCTGGTCAGGGGAAGTAACTGTTGCGGTCTATGATTTTGTTTGTTGTCTATGATTATCGTTCGTGCAAATGGTGGCGCTCTTTGGAAAATTTGAAAACAACACGATTGGCACTTTATTTGAATTTCGAAGGTATTAGCGTAATGTTTTACTTTAGTTTACTGATTATTTTCTGAAATATTATTATTTATTCTTAAAATTCTACTTTAATTTACTTTATGAAATAAATGAGAGATGAAAACACATAATTGAGTTGATTTGACACGTTTTCGCGACCTGATTGAATGATTTCGGTTCGGTAGGCCTTGTAAGCATGACGTTATTGATGTCCTTGGCAATTTATGATTTTAAAAATCTTGTCTTTCTTTAATTTATTTTTCATATTATTAAACATTTGTCTGTACTATATCCTAATTAGAATTTAATCAATTATAAAATTGAAACCTATTAAGTAGTTCGGCCCACATAATTTACGTCCCAAGACAATATATATAACTATGTCTATGTTTAAATTTTAGTGATAGTATACTACAGTGTTATTAAGTTTGAAAAAATACATTATTATTAAGTTAAATAACTAAGTTGAGTGTTAAACTTAAAAGTTGATTAGTCGCAAATTTATAGGGAATAATAAATCTATTTCTGTTTTTTTATATATTATTTTATATTCTAGATCCTGGTCCTGGCTGAAATTTAGAGTATTGCAGCTGTAGTCTGTATACCTTACACTCAACATGAAAAGGACTGTCAGGTTTGTTAAATTGAAATTAATTCTTATTAATTTATATATTTGAATTTATTAACAATACAAAGTATAAATTTTTCAACTACTGGATATTTATCTTGTCTTAAAATATATTATTTTCTGAATATTCCTGTAACATTATTAATATAAAATTTACACATTTGTTGATTTCAGGATGCTGCATAAAATGGTCTTAGCTAGAGCCTAGAATGTTAATTTCTTGGGAATATGCTGCAAGCAACTGACGGGGAGCAGTTTTTCTTACCAATCATAGGTGAGACTTTTAAATAGCTTCTTTTTAAAAAGATTTTGTTGTCTTATATACAGTATTTGCTGTCAATATGAAACTTAGCTATGTTTTAATTTTTATGCTGTTTTATGATGTAAATCTTAGAGAAAAGCATTTTAAGATAAAAAAAACAAATCTCTAAGTTGAGTAATTTTATATATAATTTGAGATTGATCAAGTCAACAACTTCTTATTTTTATTTGCAGAAGCAGTAAGAGACAGCCAAAGAAGTACTCAAACACCTGACATACCCAGAAAGATCTAGAAGAAAAGATTGGAACAGATTGTAGCTTTATTGTTAAAACTATTAAAGTGAATTTAAGCTGCACTTGAACTGTATTTTTTAAATAAAATATCTGAAGTATTTAATATTGTCTTGATATTTTGTTAAACTTGGTTACTTTGCTTTATATCCAAAAATTAAAGTATGGTGGGTTTTCAACGTTGAAATGACATTGAAACTTCAACGTTGTACCAACGTTGAAGCTGCAACGTTGTATCACCGTTGAAATTTCAACGTTGTTTCAACTTTCAAATCCGAATATAAATCCAACCTTATTTCAACGTTGAAATATGACCATAATTCAACGTTGAAACAACGTTGATGTGCCTGCTGGGCAAGGTCCATACTGAGTTTAAATGTCCACAACAGATTATAAAAGAATGATAAAATAGCCCTCCATCAGCTGTTATACTTGTATAATTGGAAAGTAATAATATATTATATCTGTAATGTATTAAACACAATACACAATCTGTCTTCTTTTACAAATTGTCATCGATAATAAAAAAGGCATTTTATTGAAAAGCTGCCTCACATAAATATGAACTTCATTAATAAGTCGTTTTTATTTGTTTGGGTCGTCAGACCAAACAAATAATGGTAGCGAAATTTCAGAGTCTAATGCTATTAATTGCAAATGCCGAAAGTAGTCCACTTTTTTGAAGCGGTTACTTCCCTTTATATGTACACTTACGCCGAAAAATTCAGGGGAAATCACTGCGTAAATTGGGTCAAAGACAGACGCATTAATTTTCAAGCAAAATAATTCCCGAATGGTCGAAGATTTCTAATATTGTTTTATTGTATTTTCTGATCGAAAATAAGTAAATACAAAGCGGACATTCAATCTCTGACACAGAAGTTTCACGAAAAACCTAACAACAAGTAGTTCTCAAAACAGCTTAAAACTAGCGATTTAAAAGAAAGAAATACTTTTATTTTGTTACAAGTATCCAACAAATTACAACGCATTCAAAGTTTAAAAATAGCGTTGGCTTATAGAATTGTCAATAAATGCACAAACACAAATTACGCGGATGAATATGATTTTATCAATGAAAATACTATGTTTAGCGATGTCAATTACCGAATACTACACAAACGGAGTAGTGGAATATATAGATTCTACATGTCGGACTGTTTAGGCGAGAAGGTTTTCGCTAAATTATTTACTTCAATTTTAAACAACAGGTTTATCCAGAACAAAATACCTCGTAATTAATAAGGATTACAAACCGAAATGCAATGGAAGTTCTAAATTTAGAATGACTTGATGTTATTCAGACAATGTTTGTATAGCTTCTCCGTGGTGCAGGGGTAACGCTCTCGCTTAGTGTGTGAGAGGTCTGGAGTTCAAATCCCAGTCGAGGAAACTTTTTTTTTTAATTCTTTTTTAAGTGTCTTTGTCAAGGAAGTAGTCATGATATGCAAGGATAAAGTGTGGCTGTCGTAAAAAATGAACATAAATGATTTTTTGATGCAACTCTAGTTATGCAAAATTCCGTATGTATCAAACTCTGGTGCCTTGCGAGATGAATTATAGTACATAAAAATAAACTTATACAGGAAAATACATACAGATATACAGTACGAATTAGATTGCAAAGATCAGAAAATACCACAGAACTTGCAGCCTTTTGATTCTTTATAAATATACATGCTTATAGTAAGCTCCAGGATTATTTACATCTGTGTTAAACAGTTAAAGTCGTTACAAGCCCTAATTTAGAATAATATGGTTTTCTTCAGGCCTTTCACATATAAATTCACCGTGGCTGAGGGGTTTTCGCACTCGCTTAGGAAGCGAGAGGTCTGAAGTCCAAATCCCAGTAAAGGAAAACTCTTTTTTTTTCTTCAAATTGTTTAAGTCAAATAAACATTGGATTGAATATCAGTGTTGCAATAAGTCTTATAGCCAATTTACTACAATTAAAACGCTGGAAAGCATTGGTGGCACTATAATCTCACAACCTGTACTTTTCTTACATTCTGAGACCCAAACAAATTCAGCGCCTTCTGTGCTTTGATTTCATTTGTAGACTAGCAACATTTCTAGCATTTAACACTCCAACTTGACAGAAGATAATTATGATCTAATCACGTGTTAAGATAATTCTTCATGTGTTTTATATTGGAGCAGGGAGCAGGTATTTGAAATAGTATAGTTTATGGAAATAATTACTTCGTTCACAATGTGTATATCATGTTAATTTGTGGGAATATGCTTTGTAAGGTCATTTTCTTTTCCTCAGAAGCTGATAACGAATCATCAGATTTTGCAGGGTAAATACATTGTTATATGTTATACATTTCTATCATTCTGTCCACAAACTATACACTTTAGGTCTTATAAGAAACTTTCCTCTTCCTTTGACATGTATATATATCTACATTTATATAAGTTGTATACCGGAACATTTAATGTTTCTGTTTTAATGTTGCTTTTAATGTTGTTTTTAAAAGAAAAAGAAAGCATTAACTTGTGTGATATTTATATGACATACTGAAATTCTTAGAGTGTTCACTGTCAATTATTTGAAAGTAAACATGCATTTATCAAAATGTGTACATTTGTATTGCAATTAGATAAGAAAAAATTATACCGGTATACAAGTTGGAGTAGATCTTGTGTTCCAACGAGCAAAATCATACAAAATAATCTGTCTTAAGCGTTTACATTTGATTCAAAATAATTATACATTTAAATATTTTACACCCTTCTGTCAGTTTTGGGGACAGTTTTTTAATAAGTAGATTTATCCAATTTGCATTTAACTTATTTGTAATCAGTAATTCGTATAAACTCTGGTCAAACTGTTGAAAGAATGCCTATCTCATTCATTCATTATTAACGCTACATTATAGCTTTGACAAATTGCCATATTACAAATATGTGTAAATGCATTTATTATTCGTACAAGATAGTTCTCTGACATGCTCGTTTCGAGTGTATGTGAATGTATAAATCAGTCATACGTGATTGTTCCATTGTATGCTTGTTTCGAGTATATGCAAATGAATAAATCATCGACGTGTTATTGCTTTATTATATCCGGACTGAGATGATGCTGTAGAGATAAAAGAAATTAATATTACGGGAAAATTTTTATTTTTTAGAAAATATGGGAAAATTTTATCTCTGAATTTCGTATAAAAAAAGATATGGAAATGGCTTAGTAATTTTCAATTTTGATAGTATAAAAAGTACATTTCTAAAATTATTTCGCACAGTGAAATGTTATTTCACATTTATAGTCACATTATCAGTTATGGATCACGTTACATAAACATTTCAACAAAAAGTAGTATTATTCATCACATATTTATTTATCCATATCAATTAACGTTATAAAGCCGGTTAATAATCGTGTTTATCACACACCCGTGCCGCTTCTGCGACTCAGTAAATATGGTTTTGCACGGTCGTGCATATATTTTGACGTGGCGTCATTTGCGTTATAAAAAGACGCGCTAAATGTTTGCGTAACATTTTTGGCGCATCAATGGAAAATGATTCTTTTTCACTTTAAACAGTCTTTAATTTCGGTATGTGATAAACAATAAACAAAATATTACATTCGTGTGGATTCATTGCTGAATGTAATGAGCTCGTTGAATAGTATAATATTATTCAACTCGTTCAATAAATTATGTTTTAAACATATACTCATTCGATATCCACTCATGTGCCATATAACGGGATTTTGGCGATGTTTTGAATATACGTCACTTCAAAATTATAACATTGAATTGTTTATTAAATAAACTTTTTGCATCAGACGACAAAAGAATCTTTGGGATTTCAATGAGATATTTCATGGTTTTCATTGTTGTCTTAGAAATATAATAATCAAGTATGAGATTTATAAACGGAAAGGTTATTTTTTAGAACTTTATTACTTAATGAATAATGCAGAAGCATTTTACTTAAATAAATAGTTCATAAATTCATGAATATAATATATGAACTGTAAATTCGGTATTGTTGTGAATTGAGGAATATAAAACTCTCCAAATAAGGAAAAATGTGTTTGTTTTTTTTTCTACGAGATATTTTGTTTTTAGAAATGCATTGCAGATTTATAAAAAAATAATGTTTTCTCTTATGCGTAAGCGTTGCTTCAAGACGGGATACTATAGAAAACACAAATGTTAAGACAGATATGAATAGAATAATAACGTAACACAAATAGGATACATATTCTTAGTTATAGTAATTCTTAGTTTAACATAACACATAAATCTTTTTACTAAAGAAATCTAGGGTGAAATTAAAAAATATTGATAATTGCTACAGAGTCTCTTTGTAAATATTATTAAACATATTTTGACTTCACACAAAGTAGATTTGTTATATTTAAAGTTCTACACGCTATCAATGGGCCGTCACATTATGAATATATAGTGTCATTAAAAGAAACTGGCAGTTTTGGTTTGTTTGTTTTTGTTGTTTTTGTAAGAAAAGACCAACCTTTCTTGACCGAAATAGGAAAAGCAGCTTCCCATAAATATTTTATTCATTTTTTTAAATCATATAAGACAGACTCATTTAGAATTTCATAGATTTTAATAAATTTTTTTGATTAATATATTTTACTCAAGGATGAGCATAATTTATCTTTAACGTGTCGTAAAATAGCTGTGCATTCTTGTTATGAAGTCGACAAGTTGTCAAGACTCGGCTATTCTTTTGTCTGCCAAAGATCCCATCTTTTGTTTGTTTGTTTGTTTGTTTCATTTTACGCCTTTTTTCCAACAGTATTTCAGTCATATAGGCGGGTAGTTTCCTGACCATCGTTCCTGGAGAGTTACACCAGTACTAGACAACCTTCCTCCGCGCTAAACTACCAAAGCATCTCCCGGGGATCGAACCCACGCCAGAGAGGTAACTGGATTAGAAGTCATCGACTCTAACCCCTCGACCACGGAGACGGAAAGATCCAATCTCAAAATGATATAAATTCTGAAGGCATAATATAAAAAATATATTTTATATCAACTAGAACAAAGTGTGGAGAACAGATACAGCAACAAGTAGAGAAAGCATTACTCTTCTGCTATATTATTTGGAAGATCAATCGACAAGTTTACACAATTGCAAATTGTTCTATTAATGAACAAGTTTTTTCAAGCAGAATAACATTAATCCAGCAAAATATAGACATAGGATAAGCCAAAACATTCATAAACTGTTTAAATTGGCGGGGTTGTCATATGAATTGACAATATACCACTTAAATAAGTTTATTTTGCATCTCTAAATATATACTAGAATGAGGAATAAGCTATTATCCATAAACTAAAGGAAAAATATCTATTTAG